CTCTTGCGGAAAACTGCCACTTCGTCCCGCTGACCTTTCCCCTACTCTCAGCCTACTTCTGCAAGCCACGCTGTACGGCCCTAACACTGACGCGCTCCCTGATGGTCACCCCCAAATCTCCTTGGCCTTCCCTGGCGGTGGTACCCCCCTGCACCTTCAGCTTGTCCTGTCATTCCCCCCCCCAAACCTCAACCCTTTGCCTTTCGCCACCCTTAAATCTGCCCCCACATTACGGCCACCACCTACCCTCTGCCCGCAGCCTCATTTTTTATTTATTTACTCCGGCCTTTCCGATGTCCCGCCCACCTGTTACCTAGCAACGCGCTCACACTAAAATGAGCCCCTAGAGTGAGCCCTGGCCAGGGCCACACACACAGGCAGGCAGCACGGGCTGCCGGCGGGCTGGGGCTGCGTCTCCTGCCTGCACAGCCTGAGCCCTGTCAACAGGTGACCACGGCCCGGCCCGGGCCTCGGGGACCGAGTCACGTGGCTCTGCCCTCCGGCCCCTCCGCAAGGGAGCGGGCACCACCGGTCCCAGCCTCTGCGCCGCGCGTGGGCTTTGGGGGAAAACGAAAGCAGAGCGGATTGAAAAAGGGAAAGCAAAATTTTACATCAGTAAAATTCGCCTTCTATATAGCCTTGTAATGTGCGGCCCAAAAAAAGGTTGAATGTAAAACAAAAATGAGACGTTAAATCACTTAATGTGACAAAATCAGTTTTGGTTTTCCAACATCGGCCGCGTCTCGCAGGAGGCGAGGCAGGTTGGGGGGCAGCGCACGAACTCGCGGTCAAGCCCAGGCCCCAGGATGGCTAGTAGGGCGGCGCGCGTGGCCTTAATCAGATTCCTCGCGAGAGGCGCAATTAGGGAAAAAATGTCAGAAAAAGCTCTTGGGAGGGAGTGATAATGAAAAAGAAAAAAAAAAACGCTGAGAAAATCGGCCTATCCTAACCAGCTGCAGCTTCTGAGCCTCCTCCTCCAGGCCCAGCCTAACGAGGCCGCTGGAGGGCATGCCCAGCGCTGGAGGCCAGTCTCACCGGTCAGCGCCGGTGGCGGCCCTGCGCCCCGCCCACCCGGCTCCTCACACACCGGGAGGGGGACGCGGGGGAGGGGGGCGGGGCGGGCACAGCCCCCCGGAGACCGGCCGGGATTGAACATCTGCCCCATTCCCTATAGGCTGCTCACCGGGCACAGACTGATTCTTGTATTTTCTAACCGAGCTCCTGAAACCATTTTGCTACCAATTTAAAAGCAGATTCGACAAACTCAAATTAGAGCAACACAGAACAGATTTCTTCACAATTGGCACTTTGGACGTGATAGAGCTTTGGAAAATGTTTTGGCTCCATTAGTGTTAAAATTATTGATAGCAAGTCTGGGTTTCTTAAAGGAATTGCCTGGAGGGCTGTGGAGCTGAAAGGGGTGCTGGGAATTCCCCCCGCAGCCACTCCGTGTTCCGTGTGGAGAAACTGAGGCAGAGGGGTGCTGGGTCCAACCCAAGGCCACTGGGCAGGCTGGGTCCAGAAGCCCCTTAGATCTGATGTCCTGCTGCCCATGTCTGGGCCGCAGGATTTAGAGAGGAGCTGCTGGCCCAGCAGCACCGGGCTGGGGGTTCCACTCCTCATTCTGGAACTTGGGCATCACAGGTGTCACTTGAGACTCCTCCCCTATGCTGGGCTCTGACAACGCTCCCTGCTGGAAGCTGCATCTGATTTTAGTGAGTGCTTCCTGTTCTAGGTTCTTTCCGGTAACAGACACACTCTCCCCGCCACCATGCCTCTGCTCGGTCTCCTCTGAGTAGCTTCCCGGGCGAGAGGAGCAGAGGTAACGCACACCAGGGTGGACCCTTTAGGAGGGACCTCACGCTGACCAGCACCGGCTGGCGTGTTTGCGTCCTCCTTAGCCCTGTGGTGCAGCTGCTGAGCCTGAGGGCCAGAGGGTGGGGGCGGGAGCTTCTTGTTCACTTAAGCATCATCTGGGACAATTCCAAACTTTAAAGTTTCCAATTCCTGAATTCTGATAAGTATAAATTCAGAGTTTGCCACAACGTAGAAGTGAACGCACAGCCAGCTGCGGACGCCGCACAGAACTTGAGCGAGGCTGCAGGAGCAGCTTTGTCCCAGGAAAAGCAAGTTTCCATTAGGCAAATGATTAATGTACTAACAGAAGAAATCCTAAATGTTGGCGCACACCCTCACATTTAGCTAACTTCATTCTCCTTCACTTCCTCCCTCTCTCTGTCTCCATTTGAAACGTCATGAAATACTTGGCAATATTCACCTTTGGGGTCAGCTATCAGGTCTGCTTATTTGGAGAACTTCCTCACCGGCCAACCCTGCCTAGGTTGAAAGGCCAGGGAGCCAATTCAAATGCTAACTTCGGTTTAGCAGGATGAGACAAAGGGCCAGCTGGAAGACCAGTGAGTTGGGAATGCTTGGAGAACTTGCCAGAAACATCTCTGGGAAAGAAAGGCAGATGAACAGGCATGCCTCAGGCAGAGGAGGGTTTGGGGGGTCCGTGCAGCAACATCCCCTCGCCTCAGGCCAGTCCTGGGCACTTCACCAGGGGTCTGGCAGGGTCCCCAGTTGTTCTGTATGCACCCTAATGGCCTTCCCGCCCGGAGCCAGGATGGAAGGAGGAAGTTGGGGGAGGGGAGCGGAGTGGTGTGGGGGTGGGTAACAGGTTTTCACAATCGGTTGGTTTGTGGAAGAGAGCATCTGAAAGATGGCAAACTATTTGTGCGTTCCTAGATGGGGACCCTCCTGGTAATGAACCTGCATATCCCTCACAGTTTCCTTAGTAAGCCTCGGGTGAGGGGTATGGGCTAGGCACTGAGGACTTTTTTAAAAAACGTGTTTATTCATCCTGCAACAAGACAACATGCTAATTTCTCTAGTGAAAACTCCACTCTGCAGAAAAACCAGCGCAAGTTACCCCAGTCTGTGAAAGGAGCTCCCACACTGCAAAGCAGCCCCAGAGCCAGCCGGAGCCCGGGCTGCTCCTGCCTAGTCACCGGGAGCTCAAGCTGCTAGGGCGTCGCCCGAGGGGAAACAGCGCTTTAATCTCCAGGAAGAAACAGCATCACCCTGAGCAGGAATCCCAACTTCGGGGAGCTTCACTTCACTCAGCAACCGCACACTTTCAAGTCCTTGGCAGGGCAGGCAAGGCACGCGCCGCGCGCCCAACCCCTCCTGCCTGTCCAGGGCAGCCTCCGGACGCGCGGCACTGCCTCGCTGCCCGGGGAAGCCCCTTGCCAACGAGCCGCCCGCGGGGCATTTACGAGTGAAAACCACAGCCGCACGAAGGCGCTCGGCGGTCATTAGCCGCAGCTGCGCGTTCACTTAGGTCCCGCGGCGCAATGCCGCCTTTCCTGGGGAGGAGACCTGGAAGGAGGACCATTTAAAGGTGTGTTCCTTCTGGCTGCTTCCTTTTCTTAGGATTCCGACCATCTTGAAAAGACCATCTCGAAACGCTTTACCTTTCCCCCAGATCATTCTCGTCAGAATAGTTCAACCCCCCGCAAAAAACTAGACGCGCGCGCGCCGAGATCAATTTCCAAATCGGCAGAGGTTCTGTAAATGCGTTTCACCTATCGGTCTCTTTCCCCAGGACTGGCGAGAAGGGCACACACTTCCTGCACCGACGACGCGCTGCCGGACCGCAGCCGGCTTTGTGCTGGGACACCAGGGCAGTTTCGCCTCCACGTTACAGATTTCAAACTTGGCTCCACCCGAGCTGCAAACAGCCGGTGAGCGCCGCCTCCCCGCGTGGAGGCTCCCAAGGCTGCCGAAGCCGCTGCCCCTACCCCCTCTCCACCGATCGCCCACAGACTTGGCGTGGGATCCAAAACCTTTCCCCAGCTCTGCGGGTGCTGAGGACCCTCTGTAGGGTATCCTGATGATCCGCACGACCCCCTCTCCAGCCCACCTCTTGTTCTCCTCTTCCTTTCCATACCCGAACACCTCGCGGGTCTCTCAGCCCTCTTTGCCACCCACAGGGCCTTGCGCAAACAGCCCAGGACCTCTCCAGCCAGGCTGCACCCAGCTCTGCCGCCGGCACGGCTGCGCCAAAAGGTTGGAGATACCCTGACGCGATGTGACCAAGCCCGCGCCGCCAACCCTGGCAGCGTGTAGAGGCGCCCCGTGAGACTCCCGTACCTCCTCTGCCTGCCCTCCAAGTGCCGGTAACCTTAGGGAACCGCTTGCCGCTCTGAGAGGTCGGTTCTAGGGCGCGCGGGCAGGTGCGCACGCTCTTTGCGGCGGTCTCCAGCCCCGCCAGCACCCGGAGATGGTTGGTGGCGGCCAGGACTGGCGCACAGCCGCGAGGGGCACTGGTACCGAGGATTCTGAGGCTCCAAATTGGCAGCGCCGGGACTTGGGCTCCAGGCTCTGAGTGTCTTAAGCGCCTTGCGCGACTTTTCCCGGAGCCGGCTGTCTCCGGAGTTCTGCCCAATCCCGGTCTGATTACTTTTCGCACGTTGCAACAGTGTCGCTACAGCGCAGCTGCTCTGGCTTTGTGAAAGTTGGCGCGCACCTCCGAACCGCATTTCAGGCACCCGCTAAAGCCACCTTGTTTTGAGACCAGCCTCTTCCAGGAGGGGAAAAAATGCAGAAAAACATCTGACTTACCTGTGCCTTTGGGGCGTACAGTTAGAAATCGGGGGCACGCCTGGGATTCAGTTGTGCGTCCTGGACACCAGCTCGGGGGACCTCAGGCTGTCTCCAGCGGGGTGCGAGGAGCCCCCCGCTGTCCAGCAAGCCTTTGGCCACCCGGCCGTCCCCCCAGCGCACTGGGGAGATTTGGGGAGCCCTTCCTGGCTCGCCCCGGCCTCCCGCTTCCCGGGATGGCCAGCTGAGCCTGCTCTCTTCCCGCCTTCCTCACCTGCCTTTCCTCCTCCCTCCCTTCCTCCCCTGGTCCCATACCGACCCCAGGCTCCGCAGTTTTGCGGCGGGCAACTCACCTGAATCAAAGAAAACAAGGAGAATCTGGACCGAGTCCTCCATTAGTGGCGCCGGATGGGAATGGGTCCCCTTTTGGAAGGGGACTCCGGGGATGGGTCGCGGCGGGTGGGCTCCCTGGGCTTGCAGCGGCGCTGCTGCTTCTCCTTTTTTGTCTCCGCAGACTCTTCGGGGTCTGCTGTATCCTTGTCTTCGGGCTGGGGCTCCTCCCCCTCTCTGGGGCTCCCGGGCTCCTGAGCGCTGGACCGCGTGCGACTCGGGGAGGCGTCGGGGCTCCGCAGCCTCAGAGCGTGGAGACGCTCAGTGAGAGACTGGCCAAAGGTGCTCTGCTTGGGCACCACGGGGCCGCGCTCGTCCTCGGGCTCGGTCTCGGGCTCAGTGGTGGGGGCGGTCTCGGTCTCGGTCTCGGTGTCGAAGTCGGTGTCGGACTCTGTTTCAGACTCGGTCTCGGATTCGTAGTCGAACTCTTCCTCGTAGTCTGGGCACTCGGGGAGGGACAGGTCTCGGTCTGTCTCCTCGTGCTCGGTGTCAGACTCGGGGGGCTCGGGGAACACCTGGGCGGCGGAGCGGTGGTGGGCGTTCAGGAAGCTCCGGCGCTGCTGGGCAGCCGCGCGCTGCTGGGCGCGGGCGTTGGAGGTGGCAAGGGCGCGGAGGAGCGCGATGGAGCAGGAGAGCCAGAGGAGCGCGGTGGCAGCCCGGCGGCCAATGGATGGGCACAGATCGTTGTAATTGTGGCGAGCTCGGCGCCACTGCTGAGCTCGGGGCCTGCGATCCATTCTCCTAGGCGCGCCCAGGGAGGCCGACCCGCTGCCCTCTGGCTCTGCAGAGAGCGGCTCCGGTGCGCATGGGCTGCTGGAGCCGAAAAAGGTGCGCCTTAGGAGGCGAGAGGCTGGGTCCCGGGGTCCCAGCCCCACCTCAGCGGAAGGGCAAGAAGGGAAGAACCTACCTTTCTGACCACTCAACTTTCTAAAGCTCCGCGCCTCTGCTTGCCTCTCTGAGTAGGAAGATGGAATGGGGAAAGGGGAGGAAAAGTCTGCCTTCCTCGCTGGCTCCTCCCCTGAAGTCTCAGACTCTGCAGTCTGAGACCCGGGAGAGGTGCCTCCGCTGGTCCTCTCGCCTTGGAGAGGAGAGAGGAGACTGAGGCGAGGAGAGACGCGCGGAGAGGTTCTGCAAAGTTGCGCGCCAGGACTTCTGCCGGGCATGTGCAGTAGGGAGGCGGGGGCGCCTCCCGGCGAGCTGCGCGGCGCCGGCGAGCCCGTGGTGCAGACCCTAGTGGGCCGGCAGGTGGCAGGAGGGAACCTTGTTTGAAAGGATTTTGGCAAAGCGAGGGGCAGGGGGGCCTGGCGGGTGCCAAAGAGCGACGGAGCGAGCCACAGGTTAGCGGACTCGGGTAGCTGGGCATGACATGGGTTCTCCATAGGGTCTGTACCCCCGTCCACCTTCTCCAGTGTTATCCTTAAAATGAGTAAAGCCGGAAGCCACTCACACCAAACAGAACAGCAGAGATTCAGGGGAAATGAGGGTCTATACGTGAGTATTAATGATCCAGCCCCGGGCATTTTCCAAGGGTTTAGTAGTTTGAGGGCTGTAATCTCAGGAGGTCATTGATCATAAAACCACGACTGGCAGATCTGTTACAGAGACTATAATTTGAGAAGTTTCTAAAAAACTCAGCCCCCCCCCCCCATGAGTCTCAATCTAATAATCTCGTGGACAAAGAAGCCTCTTCCCTAGGAAGGGTCCCCACCGAGCAGCTAGCGGGTCTGCCAGCCCCCGGCGGGTTGCCAGGAGCTGCGCTGGGAATGGGCGCGGGGACAACGGCTCCCGCGCAGCCCTTCCTGCGCTGAGGGTGTGTGTGTGTGTGTTGGGGGTGTTGTGCTTCAGGGCCGTCAGCTAGCAAGGCAGCCTCGCTGGGTACCCCTCAAAGCTCTCACAGGTTTCCAACAAAATTAATTCATTCAATAAATATTTATTGAGTGCCAAGCTCTGTTCTAAGTGCTGAAGGTAAAATTAAAGAAAAGGGGGAAAATGTTAGCTTAAGTGAGGATGTTTAGGGTTAATCTCTGGTGAATCCAGCATGAGCCCGCCCAGAACCCATCCCTGCCCCCCACTGCTGCTGACTCCAGCTTGAAGTCTCCCTGGGAAAACGAAGGGATCAAGGAGCATTCCGGCGAGGGGGCAGCTCAGCACCCCCAGAGCACGTGGTTGAACCCCAAACACTTAACGGTTGGAAGTTAACATGGCCTGTTCTCCACCCCGGACCATAGGATGAGCGCCGTGCCCTCAAGGGGAGCTCTGGAGCGGCCCTGGTGCAGGAAAGCACGGTCCTTTGGGAGCTCTGGCATCCCCTGTGGGACCCCACTCCTCTGGGATTGTCCTGCCCTCTGCCCTCTTAAAACAGGGAGCACCCCTTTTGCCACAGTGACAAGACCAAAGGCGGCAGATCTCAAGGCGAAACCTCGTAGCCATGGATGTGTCAACAAGGCGGCTGCCCGTGGGACATGTGATCTTGTTGCCTTTGGGTCCACAGGGGGGAAACTTGAAGCGGCGCCACCTCCTAGAAGTCTGCTGTCGCTGTGGTCTGCCTGGCCCCCCCCACCCCGCCCTCCTTCCCGGTGGCTGAGGAGCCAGCCGCTGGCAGCACGGCAGCACGCGCCTCTTGCCGCCGCGTGGTGCCTGCGTTCAGGCCAGCAAACTCGGAGTGAAGACCTCAGCAAGCCTAGCAGCCGCTTTTGACAGAGCTGAGGTTTTATTTCTGCATCTTGACTGTTCCTGCCCTGGCTCCTTGACTCTGTCTCACGTTCAGTGTCCTTCTGTTTACTTTGCAGCGTTACAGTACTGATTGGTCCAATAAAGTGGGATTGATTTGCAAACCCCATAAAAGGCCAACGTCTATATTCCAGTTGTGCTCCACTCTAACGCTTCCCAGGGAAGCTGCGAGGGTTTTATTTATTACCACAGGTGCTGGGTGGCTCCGGTCATCGTGTGGCTGTGATTGCGGGACACTGGACAGGGGCATTTGAGCTGGATATCTCAAATCCTGATCACTCACGGGGGGGAGGGTTGGGGGGCCATTTTAAAGGTTCTGTTCAGAATGACCCACCTGCTGCGTATTTTCCCAAGGAGCACGGCCCGCTGACAGTGCACAGAATGTAAAGGCACAGCTCAGGCGGTTCTGGGCCCCCGGGCCGCTGGCGAGCGCCCCGGCATGGAGACGCGTGCCAGCTGTCGGCCCGAGGGGGTGGCGGCGCCGCAGTGCCCCCAAGGAGGCACTCGGGGTGTCGGGGGAGTGCAGTATGCCTGTCACAGAGGTGGCAGCCCAGAGCTGGTCCACGCTCACAGACACACCGAGATTGGCCTGCATTATTCAGAAATGTGCATTACATAATACGGAGTTTTGGACTCCATTTTGCATTAGTAATGCACGTTCTTTGCAAGATGCATTTCAATCAGCAAACGGACCTGAACAAGGCTGCATTGCCGAGCCCCGGCCCTGCACTCACAGGCGCGTCTGGCATCGCCCACCGTGGGCTCCAGGAGGAGCAGGAGGGCCGCGCGAAAGCACCGCTGCCTCGCGCGGCCGCTGAGCCCCAGCAAATGGTTCTGTGCAGGAATGCTCTTTAAAATGCATTACGTGCATGACTTTAACAAGTGCTCACTGCAGAGTGAATTTCAAAAAGGAGCAAGCGGGTGATGAACGACCTCGGGTTGTTAGCAGCCGAGGAACGCGGGCTGTGCCTGTCTGCCGGTGAACAAAGCGCAGACAGACGCACAGGGCCTGCGGGCTGTGCCGGGCAGGGCCCCTAAACCTGTTGGACAGGGAGCGCAGGTGTCGCCGTCGCCCCCCGCCCCCGCCCCCGCCCCGTGACAGTGCTGGACAGGGAGGGGCCTACTTGGAAGAATGTGAGGAATGCCATCTTCAGCCCCTTCTAGGACTGTCCTGAGGAAGAGGCATGGAGATGTCTTTTGCGTGACTCCAGAGGCAAAATCAGAAGTGATGGGCGTTGGTTACAGCAGGCAGCGTCCAGCTCAGCCCCGGGAGGACGGGAGGACGGGAGGACAGGAGGGCGACGCCAGCAGTCAGGGCCCTGAAATGGAGCGCCTGTCAGGGTGGTTGGCTCTCGGTCAGAAGCGGGCTTCAATCAAAGGACAGATGACTGCATATTGGAGATGTTTTCCATGGGACTCATGAGCCAGGCAGAGGGGGAGCCTGGGGCAGCGCAGGTTCTGGTTCCATGAAAGGCATGCGGGGGCCCTGGGGCGCGCTGGGGGCTCTTCCGGCTCGGCATCTATTTTAGAAGCACTGGACAGGGCTGTGGCTCAGGGACAGGAAGGAATGTTGAGGTGGCATTTCAGGACATGAGCAAACAGGTGTATGCTGTGGGACTTTTGTCACCAGGATAGGGCTCTGAGGCTCTTTGCGCTGAAACTCAACGCAGAGAAAGGACTCAAGTCTGTCTGTTCATTAGATAGGTCCTCTTTGCAACCCCCCCGCTTCACCGAGTGGTCTTGGAAATTAAAAATGATATTGGCTACTTTGCAGTCATGCATTGGGCCACTTCTGCGGGCAGGGCCCCGTCCAGGCGTCGTGAGGAGGGGCAGCTGTGGAGAGCGGGCAGCCGCTGTCCGCAGCGCAGCGCGCGCGCCGGTGGGAGATGCCCCGACACTCAGCAGTGGGTCGCCAGCAGGCGTTAACTAACACTGTGCCCTACGCCAGGCGTGTCGGCCGGGAGGGGAGCTGGCGATGGCGGTGACAGCCCAGGGGGCGTGCGTGGGGGAGGCTCTACCCAGAGACTGCCTTTTCTTTTCAGGGTCCCTGGGCAGGTCGTGTCCCATCCTGTGCTCCCACGTGCCTCCCGGGTGCAAAGCCCTGTGCCGGTCACGCTGGGGCAGACAGAGGGGTCCCATGAGTGCTCAAGGGCCTGCCGGGCTCTTTGTCATGGGTCCTACACCAGCACGCTTTCCAAGAGGAATCACAAGGTCAAGGGTCGGCTCTGCCCTGCCAGGCGAGTGGCCTGAGAGCTCGAGGGCCTTTTATTGGATAGCTGTCGGCAAGGGCCGCTTGTGGAAATGGACGGCTTGTTGCGCTTTCCTGTGGGTGGGAATGACCGGGGTGGGGGGGGGTTGGAGGTGTTCCTGGCCCTTGACCAGGGCCCTGGGAATTCGGCTGGGCCCACCTCACAGGTCTGGGCGTGGCGCGGGCGCGTTTAGCTCGTTTCTCCCAGGCTGCACCGATGGCAGGGGTCCTCGCTGGTGAGAGCGGTGACTGTCCAGGCTCCCGGTCTTGTGATGGGGGCGCGCCATGTAGAGCTGAAGGCAAACATGGGGGAAGATGACCGCCCTTGTGACACGGCGGGGCTCTGTCCAGGCTGTTGTGGGGATGACAGGACTCTGTGACCCTCCTTGGAGAGGGAGCCAGGTCACTAGTGAGCGGGTTCCTGTGTGCAGAGCTGGAGTGGCCTGGCCCCCCCTTCCCCATGGGCTCCCCAAGGGCTCTGCCACGGTCGCGCGCCCCCCCCCCCGCCCCGATGCCAGAGGGCAGCGCCTCGCCTCCTGGTCCAATAGGGCGCTCCCGGGCGCTCCCGCACTCGGGTGGAGCACAGCCGGGGCTGCCCGCCTGCTCCCACTCGTGCGCTCAGCGCCACGGGGCCCCTGGTGTGTCCTCTGGACTCTGGCCTCCTGCCCAGCTGCATCCTGTCCAAAGCTGCGACAGGGTTCCGTCCGGCTGCCCAGCGCCGCCGCACACGCCACCCGTCCGGCTCACGCCCCAGCCCGCTGAGAGGCCAGTGTCCATGTGCCCGCAGCCCACCGATGCCCATCCCAGACGCCCCCTGCCCTGCAGCGCCTCCCGAAGCCGGGGGCTGCGGGGGGAAACGCTGCTGGCGGCCGAGGATGACTCAGCCCTCAGCCCTCCTGCTCATGGGGTAGCTTTTGTCCAGCTCTCCCGGTCATCCCACCTGCCCCTCCAGCCACTGGCACTGACAGAGGGCCTCAAAGTTGTTTTTCTCTCATCTGCGGAGGCTCTGACTCACCCTGCAGACTCGGCGGGGGAGCGAGCCGCGAGCCGCGAGCGGGGGAGAAAGTCTAGTGGTGTCGTGGTTCAGACACGCGCACACAGAAAGCCTTTCCGCTGCAGCTCTTCAGAAGATGATTAGACCAATTT